GACGGCCTTGGAGGTGTGATTGTAGATTTGTGTTAATTAGTCTCCGGCTCATCGTCCCGCAAGCAAATGAATAAAGAGAACGACGGTTGGAGTGTGAAGGTGTCATGTCGCTCAAAGGAGCATACCAAACTATATCGAGATAAACACGGTAAACAATTGTGATAGTGAAGGCAGGATAGGATGCTACCGCAAAAAGCGAATAACCCAGGGCAGAAGGGGAGATACCACAATTGTTCAGCACAAGTTTGGTTATAGGATCGGCTTCACTCGTCTCTTTGGCGGGTTGTTGTGTTGTGCTGACAATGACGATGCCGGTGAAACGTCTGGGAATGTACCACGTCCACGGTTCGACTTTGGAAATGATGATGACATACAATGGACTCCGGACTGGGTGCGTTCCTCTAAGTCTTCCTACCAACATGACCAAGTTGCGCAAACAAGGTCAAACAACCTCTAATGAATTTTTGCTTAGCTTTTATCCGTCGTCTGGCAGACATTGTCAGAGCAGAACAACATGTTTTTCGACAATTCACAAAGAACAAGATCAAGAAAGATCACCTGCTACAATCATATCCACTTTGTATAGCCTAACTTTGTCAACTCAACAAGACATTTCATGATTTCTATGCTTCTCATAAATGTTGTTGAAAAGTAAAGGGACTGTAGATGAAGCGTGAAACAGAAGCAATTGTGATAGAATAGTTACATCTTCCTTTAAGACATTTTTAATTATTTTTTTGATTCTGCAATGTTGATGCTTGCTATTGCATTCCACTGCACGTGTGTGTATGCAATGCTGGCGAAATGTGTGAGATGTGGCAGTCAAAACCAGATTTGAGGCTGATCAAGTCTCCTCCTCTGGTTCGGCGGTATTCATCGTTCCCTCCTTCTTTCTCTCTCTCTCTCTCTCTCTCTTTCTCTTTCTCTCTAATCCTATTCAACAGTCTCAGTTAGGTCCTTTTTAATTTCATATACTCATTCTCTTTACTCAGTGACCTGACTGTTTTGTTGCTTTTCACATTTTCCATAATCTTCAGTTTATTGGTATAGTCTGCATAGCCAGCAAAGCGTTTGGCATTCGACCAGTCTATCTGGAGGGTCAGAATATTCTCGAAAATAAGGCATTCCTTTGATAAACAGTCAAAATGTTCCAGTTGTTCAGTAATTCGTCTATCTTCTTTGAGAGATTACACAATTCCAACATAAGCAAGCTGGTAAAGTGGTATAGCCTCGTAATTGGACTCAAATGTCTATTTCCCTCCATCCTAGTTGACAGTACCAAAGAATAACTTTTAATCAACCAGAAGTCTATTTAGATGATTCAATTCTTGGTTTCGATGATTATGAGCCGCCAGACTTAGGCCCCTCATTTTTATAAACGTTGTAACTCCCACCTTACCTCAGTCAGAGTATTGTTTTCGTGACTACCATTCGTTTAAGAAGGCGGATGGAATCCTTTCAGGGGTTAAACGTTAATGACCCTAGACTGAAAAGCTAGGACAAGTGGTTTCGGAACGTGACTTACATGCTTACAAGCTCATATCTCATCACCTCAACCATACTTGTTTACGCATTTACGCAGTCTCAGTCAAGCA